CAAAAGATCCTGATATCTGGCATCATATAAATTCGTAGAGACACCATTCTGAAAAAAAAAACCCAAAACCAAACCCGCAATATTTGGGATATGATGACATGTGTCAGCCAAGTCTGCGACCCTGTCCACACCGACCGACCCTGACCTTTAGTCGCCTCTTACGACAAACATGGCTTGACCTGGATAGCCTCACGGCATCAATAGTAAACAATTACTTACGTCTGTGGATCTACAAAGGCTTTTTGCCCTCATTACCATGTAGGTCAAATTTTTTTCAAGCATCCCATTAAGAGGAGTTAATATTTTAACAGTCGTGATGATGCACTGTGTTTCAGGTTCTTCAAGTGCTCTCCTTATGCTTACATACGTGGCAACAACAATCCCTCTGCAGAGAGACGCCTTAAGCACTATATCAAATTTTGTGTCACCGCTCACGTGTATTGTTTCCTGTACAGAGTGTTTGGGTAAATGTCTCTGCAAATCACGATGCAGCATTGTTATTGTTCTCCGGTGTTGTCTCGGAATGTTAGTCTTAGTAGAGTTGCCGCCCTTTTATGTCCCGGAATAGAGTCCGATAGTCTCGTGAGGCGCTACTTCTGGTAATAGATTTCCGGTGACATGCATGTATTCAAGAACCAGTTCTGGTTCCAATTTGCGCGACCGCAAATTATGACTTCACTAGACAGGACCAAGTGTTCTCCCACGCTTGGCTGCACCGCTGTTGACAGATATACACGTGCTATTCATACAACATAGTCCAAGTGTTTTTGTTGCCTGTTGCATGTTATAGTTTTCTGAGTCAGAAGAGCGTGTGTCGACAATGATTAGCCAGGACATGTCCCTTGTAACAGTGCTATCGCCATTGCCGCAAAACGTTGTTTGTCGCCGGAAGTACTAAGGTCTCGCAAAGTGCCGTGACCTACTTACGGGCCCTATATACAGGTCTCGACTTCGTCGTAGATATCAACTCAAATGTTAGTATACCCGTTTCGAAGTCAAGGCAACTCTACAGACGGTTTTTGTCTCTGTCTCCAGTTCAGACTTGGCTCAAATCGACATGACAATCTCTACAATGAGTGATTATAGAGGGTACGTTTTACGCCGTTTTAGCATTGATTCAGCAATATGACGGCGATAAACACCAGAGGACTTCACACACTGAGTCCATGTTCGGAATCGAACCCTTGTCTTTGGCGTGTCGTATATTAAACATCCCTGCATACCAACATATAAGACTTAAAATGTGTATATCTGCAGGCTTGGTCTCGGCGCTATGCGGCTGAAATAATGCCGATGCGACGTAAAATATTAACTCACTCACTCACTATTGTATGATCACGTCGTGTCACACAGTGAGCCCACTCCGACATGGATCTTCACAAAATGCCGAGGAAAGCAAGAAGACTGTCTCCACTTTCTCACAAGTGTAGATCTACCTGTTGCTCCACTGACTGTTAATATCAAAACATGAACACGTATAGTTGGGTAACAATGATTCAGTGTGTCCGAATTATGCCTTGTTTTGTCCCATTTACATAAATAATTCAAAATTCATAATAAATGGTATTTTGTTTAGGTCATACTAATCCTCTAAATTAAATTCAAGAGAGGTAGGTAAAAGAGAAATAACTTGAGAAAAGCATGTGTTTTCGCTCTATTCTGTTTGTCCCACATTGACCAAGAACAAGACTGTTGCGCGATGGGGATCATTTATGGCCACTCTAGTCTCATTTCTAACAAATAGCAACTAAGAATGCACGTGGTATAATATATATTATTTCCAGGACAAGGCAAATAGGAAATGATATTACCGAACCTTCTTAAAGGCACACTATCACGCCAGACTTCTCTAAAAATAAATATTGCATTTCCTTCATTAATACTATCAGCCCCCAGCGAAGCTACCATAAAACTTATTCCAAAAAGGTTACGCATTAAGATTACAGTATGACATTGGAAAGTTCGCATGAATTAATGCAATGTTGCATTAAATCAACTCTATACCGACCGGACTTTATTTCAAGCGAACCCCATAGAGTTATGGAACGCTCTTTACGAATATCCTAGAACGCAACATGTGATCGAGGCCAGTTCGGCACACACCGACAACACCGCGTGCGACAGTTTTCGATGTATGGAGCAATCGTTTACATTCCATATATGGCAAGTGTAATCTGTTTGAAGCTGTTCGACTCGAAGTTTCAATTATCGATTTCAGGCAAGTCGTAAGGGATGATAAGTCTGTTATTGTATCAATAGGAAGTTAAAGTGAGTGCATATGCCCCCATAAAAATATATTAGAGACCAATATATTGTCGTAAAAGCGTGACATTGTGCCTTTACGTTTTGCCATGCTGAAAGGAGAGCCACATTTTGAAGTGTTGCATTGACAGAGGTACGTAAAATATGTTTATTCACCCTCAACTCCGTTCAGAGTTCATTTCTGAATTCAAATGTGTACTTACTTAATAAAAGGCCATGTACTGTAGGAGCACTAACACCTTGATTAAGACACTGAGCATTTGTTTTACCAGAGTGATCTCCCATTTTATCCTTGCGTCCTCAACTCCGTTACTCAAATCCATTACGTTGTAACGGAGTTGAGGTATCTTGATAACATGACCACCCAGACCTAAATTTCTTTCAGTGTTTGACATATTTCATAATATATATAGTTTAATCATTTCTTTTGATTGCAGCATTCAGAGGGTGACATTGAAAACATTTCACGGACTTGCTATCAGTGTCATAAGTCGGCAATAAACAGTCATCTGTGAGAGGAGCCGCTTATGCGTACATTTTAGACAGTTCTTACTTACAGTGATGGTTCCTTGTAGTTTTTTTGTTGGACTTGTAGTTTCAAAAGAATCTGACATAGAGATACAGAAAGCGTCTTCAAAGAAATTTACATAAAACAGCCTGGAGCAAATGATGTTCAGATAAATTGTACTTGCCGCAGACACATTTTAACAAGTCATGTTTCACAGAATTTCAGACGTTCGTTTGTCAGAAATCGACTTTTACTTTGTTTAAGAGGTCTTTTTGAAGTTTTATTTTACTGCCCTGCTTTGTTTGTCATTCTTCATAATGGCCTGTAATTATCATCACTTACTTGAGTACTTCACCTTTCCATCTAACTTGTGCTGGGGTACTGTTTTGTAGTTGCAGCCTAAAATGCCATCTTTGATTTTGAATTTATGTTAAAAATACTTTAACGTTTACAATTTTCTTTCTGATTTTCTTAAGATATGTTTCGTCATGTCTTAAAGTAACTTCACACTTAGAAATATTTGCTGACCATAAAATAGACATGAACCTTACATTATATGATGAACGTTTTGCATAGGGGACATCGTCAGTGAAAGGGCAAAGAAACAGTGACCTGGGGACATGGCAGATGCACACAAAGACATAAATTGCGTTCCTTAGTACATTCATATTGGTGGTGGGGCGGTGGGGTAGCCTAGTGGTTAAAGCGCTCGCTCGTTACGCCGAAGACCTGGGTTCGATTCCCTACATGGGTACAATGTGTGAAGCCCATTTCTTGTCCCCAGCCGTGATATTGCTGGAATATTGCTAAACGCGATGTACAACTAAACTCATTCACTCATTCATATTGCTAGTAACAGACAAAATGTCACTGCATTTGATATAAAACATACGTTTTATACAAGATATATGCATTTTAGGCACGTGGAGACACGTTGTATTGTCTCAAAGCAGTTGATGCTAGAAATGTATTAGAGTTACGAGAGAATATTGCCTATTGAATATTGAGACAGTAGGTAATAGGTGCATATGTTGAAAATAGACAATTAGTATGTTATTGACGAAAATGCACTCCTAATGGAAAACGCTGAAAGATGAAAATACGAATTATACGAAAATAGCAAACTATAAAGACTGTAATTAGATGTATTGTTTGAACATATTTTTGCAGGGTAATACGGACATCTAAATTGTTTACTTATTTTAGAAATACATTTTATTCTTGTCCGACATGCCGGCATTCTCTCTCAGAAGATTCTTTGTATATTAATTTGTCAAATTTCCCTTTTTCGTAATTAATTGGCTGTGGACATTCGGTTGTCGAATGTCTTATACTGTAGTGCATAGGAAAGCTAGGAATTAGCCTATGCTACTGCATCTCTAGCTCTGACATTGGTTCCCACATCAACAAATATATATGACAGCCACTGGGATGAGAGTAAAACTGGTTTGTAGTTGAAGAATTCAGATCCTGTATTGTTGGGTGCTTGAACTGCAATATGCTTGCCACCAGTTACACCTATGCAGTGGAGGAAATGATACTTTGCCATAAATTCGTCCTGAATTTACGTCCTTACATGTTCAGTAGTGGGAACCTGAAACTAATATTACCATGTGTTATATTCCTTTTGCTCACCTTATTTAAATATACTGACATTAACGGTAGCATCTCTTCTTTACAAGACGAATAAATGTTGCATAGTCATGCGTGAAAACCTCGCGAGATACGAGTTGTATTCAGTTGAAAACTACACAAAAACCAAAGTCTTTACGATCTTTATTTTTACTAGTTGCATACTACAAGTTGTTACTTCATGTCGCACCTTGAGAACACACCCTTAGTCACAGGCTGCACGTGTCCTGAAAACAGCACGATTGATTAACAAAACCCGTTTATGTCTATTGTTAGTCGCTTCAATGACTAAATTCCTCATTGTGCCAATATTATTATGTTAATTATATTTTCAACTGTGTTGATCAAAATATTTGAATATTGTGTTGCTTGTTATGCTTGTCGTGTCCCTTAATGAATGTTCAATAGAGGAGCTCTAGCATTATTAGAAATTATACATGTTCTATTTCATGCTTAATGGATTCTAACTTAAGTAAACAGATCAGAAACAATAACCCTTGCACCTCCTCTTTAAGCCCTTTTATTCTGGAAATAATTACTTGAAATAGATGCGGAATTGTTAAATGAAACTGCCGATGTGAATCCATGGTGTGCCACAGGTGTGCAGGTATCTCTACATAAATATTTAGAGGTACCGGTCTTTGTATCAGTCAGCATCTACGCATCCCACTGGAGGTAAGTTAATAGAGAGAGGTGTCCTTGTTGTCGTGCATTGAGATTGCAGTAAGTTACTTCTCGTTTAATGTTTCTTACCAAAGCGCGTGTGATATTGTTTCTTACCTTACGAGGATATTAACATGGTGTACATACTCAGTGGACACTATCATGTACTGGTTTAAGAATTTAGAGGAATGGCAGTGAGCAAATACTGTCAGCACTAAAGGAAAATCGGTTCTGGAGAGACGTCCGTGTGATTATTCAATGTTAACTGTATCATTGATATTGTATGATAACTTTTAGCTTCTCTTTTTTTGTTACGCTGAATGTTGACCATCGCCAAAATCATTTTCAGTGATGTTAAAGAACCAATAAACCTTGTTTTTTGTTACTCTTTTAACCATTACATATGAAAGATTTGTGGTTAGTCTTATGCGGAACACCAAATTTATTCTTTAAAAACTTGTGGTTAATTTATACCGAGCGATTAAAAGTGGCAAAAAAGTCGCCTGCTTCCCTCTCGCCCGCCAACGAAACCACAGACAGGTTACGTAACTCTGTCGCCAGAGCACAGCAGTGACGTCATATGAGGAACGATTTTCAGTTAGTTGTATAGAAAGTGTGTTGCACGCTCATCAATTTGATGATTTCTCGACATCAACGACGACATGCCGAATCGTTGCTTTGTCGTCAATTGCTCCTAGGGGTCGGGCGATGGTCTCACCATGCACAGATTTCCACAGGACCCGCAGTTCGTGCTAAATGGGTTATGTTTGTGAGTGCGAAGCGAGCGTTGTGGAAGCCTGAAACGATATCTTACTTGTGTTCAGATCGCTTCACGGAAGTTAAAGAATCAAAACTACTTACTAGTTGTAGTAAAATATGTATATGATTGATGACCATAAAGATTTTCCATGACACAGCTTGTAACATAACGATTTCTTCCTCGGAAGTGAGGTTGTGGTCAAAGTAACAATAATATTGTAAGCAATATTATATTGACACCCACCTCGCTTCCGTGGAAGAAATCGTTATGTTATAAGTTGTGTCATGCAAATCCGTTTGGTTATGATTCCAATACATATTTAACTACCAGTAGAAAGTAGTTTTGATTTTGTAACTCGGTGAAAACAAACCTAAATAGCATTTATCCTCAGACTGGCGGATGTTACCGACAGGGCGCCGCCATTTTTGAAAATCGTAAAGTCTGTTAGAATTAATGAGATTATAGTTTGTTTTCATCAAGTTAGAAAAATGTGTAGGTTTATACCACCTAACACGGGTTACAACAAGGGAGTATTAATTGCTGTATTGCATGTGAACACTTATGGGCCGACACTGTTTTGAGAATACAAACAGATTTTACATGACATGATTAAATATCGAGGTAAAACACAGAAATGGAATCAATTTGGATCAGTCATTATACAAATGGGGCCTAACGACACCAATCGATTTTGACAGAATCGTCTATGAAAACAAGTTGTAACTCGGAAACTAGGCAAAGCAGGAGACAAAATTAAATGCCAGTAGATTGTGAGAACATATAGCTTTCATTTTCCACAAGAATTGTCACGATTTCTGGTTTATACAAGCCTGTAAACAAGATAATTTACCCCCTAAAATGTAGATGAATTCTGCATCGGCCCTCAAAGCTATTCCTCATATGACGTCACAGAGAAGCGCCGCTCTGATTGGTTTAAATTTCGTTCGCGGGTGAGAATTGTGCACTGTTGTCAAAAAGGTCGATTTAAGTCAATTAAAGGTCGAAATGAGTAGTTTTAATGACGGGGTTTCATTTATAACGATGTCAGTTAGTGATTTATGTATTTGTACCCCCTAGGGTATATGTGATCTTTAAGTAATTGAATATAGTTTATGAGCTATCGTATATATTTAAACTTTACGGAACGTCTTCATTGTTTTCCTTGTAAAATAGACCCGTGAAGGTCCGGATTACAATATTGATCTTCAGTAACCCATGCTTGTCGTAAGAGGCGACTAACGGGATAGGGTTTGCAGGCTCGCTGACTTGGTTGACATGTGTCATCGGTTCCCACTTGCGCTGATCGATGCTCATGCTGTTGATCACTGGATTGTCTGGTCCAGACTCGATTATTTACAGACCGCCGCCATATAGCTGGAATATTACTGAGTGCGGCGTAAAACTAAACTCACTCACTCACTCCTTGTGAAATATATGTAATTTGGTATGTGTTTCCGGAATATTTCGTATTTGTTTTTGTTTTGTGCTTGATGTGCGAATATAATCACCTTTTAACCTCCATATGATAGAATCCACAATAAAAGGGTTTTGAGTGAACTCAGTTGAGTGTACATTTAAATTGTGCGTATATGTCAGCAGTTGTGTACTGACTTAACTGGTTTGAGTTCGAAGTTCAAGGTAAGTTGTTGATGCTGATGGGGATGTACCACCTGAATGTATCATCTAGCGTGCTTTATGTTGAATACAGTTCTAACTTTTGACTCACCGGTACGGCAGCACCATGTCGAGAAGAGTGAGTGAGTGAGTGAGTGAGTGAGTGAGTTTAGTTTAACACCGCACCCACCAATATTCCAGCTACATGGCGGCGGTCTGTTAATAATCGAGTCTTGACCAGACAATCCAGTGATCAATAGGATGATTATCGATCTACGCAATTGGGAAACGATGACATGTGTCAACCAAGTCAGCGAACCTGACCACCCGATAGCGTTAGTCGCCTCTACGACAAACATGGGTTGCTGAAGACCAATTCTAACTGGGATCTTCACGGGTCTCATGTCCAGCGGTGTGGAGTAGCAACTCATCAAATTATTTTTTCCAACGACAAGCCCTTTTTTTTAATCGATTATATAAGACAGAATTGGTCTTCAGCAACCAATGGTGGTCGAGGGAGGCGATTGGGTGGTCAGGGTTGCTGACTTGGTCGACACATGTCATCATATCTTAGTTGCGCAGCTACTCATGCTGTTGATCACTGGAGTGTCTGGTCCAGATTGGACGATTGTTTACAGAGTGCAGCCATATGGCGGGATTATTGCTGTGTGCGGCGTTAAACAACAAACAAAATGTGAATAAAAGGCGATTAAGATGTGACGAAAGTTCGCAGTTCGCAGCGCCCGATGCTTGATGTCAAGGTCAGATACTAAAAGTCACATGATTTATGATATGCATCAGCGCCAGAACAACCCATTGAGTTAGTCGTCAAGCATGGGTTGCTGATTACCAATCCTAGCCCGGATCTTCACTTTCTAATTTTAGTTTTGGTATTGAAGGTCACTCTACGGTTTCCGTATGCCTGTTGGCAATATTGAGACATTCACGTTGTTTGACATTACAGAACCTGGCTTACCATCATGACAAAACTACAGATAGTCCTCGTCCTGGTGATGTCCACTGTAAGTATCACACCAGGGGTTAGTCACTCACAGTCAAGAGTAGAACTATATATATATATATATATATATATATCATAGATGAATGTTGGAGAAAACAGTCTGTTTTATTTATCTATCTAGATATTTATACTGAACACCTGTACTAGTTTGGACATTTGTACGTATATATATATATACATACATAGGCATTTTGTATTCTTAAAAATCTATTAATATCTATTGTGTTCAAACAATCGTCCAAATATGCAACAGTTGATAACATGATTTTACAAAATTGACTTTATCTGAAAATGTTGATTTTGATGAGATTTCTCACAAGGATTAAAAAGGCATCACCACAACGCAACAGAAATCACCTTCCATTGTGCGGCAAATAGCATGCACTGTCTGGCTATCAAAATCCAGATTACTTTCGGAAATCGGCATTCGTTTTGAAGGCGTTTCAAGGTCAAATCACTACGCCACGTATTGACGCTGCGACACCGAACATCGCCATTGAAAGAATGCACGCTGGAAATAACCAATCCGTCTGAATGTTAGTCTGAGCACGATATCACGGCTTACAGCTCGTTACAACCGTTCAGGCATAACAAATGACCGTCCCCATACAGGCAAACCTCGAGTCACCACTGTAGCCCATGATCGGTACATCCGTGTACTACATTTGCGTGATCGTACTGCCACGGGTGAGAGCACAGCAGCCAGGGTGCCTGGACTTCGGATGATATCGGGTCAAACTGTACGAAACAGGTTGAGAGAGATTGGATTGAGAGCCAGGAGATCCGACGTCGGGTCCGTGCTACGTCGTCACCATGGCGCTCAACGTCTCCGTTATCTAAAATTATCAACTTGGTTGTATAGACATTTCCTTCTTCTAAACTGATGCAAAAATTCATGTACTAAAGTCTATTTGTGTGCGAGTTATATATGTTTGAAAATACAACATTTTCGCAACAGATTTCTGGGTTATGCGTTTCTTTTTTTAATATTATATCTACCTCAGAACTTATCATGGGTTATCAATTGCATGGTGACCAATAGTTATGTCATGGTTCAAGGCCCCGTTCCACAAAGCAAAGGGGATCGTAACTTCCCATACTTTTCAACATAGACTTGCGCCAGCGCTCTGATTGCTTAGTGGAACGGGCCCTTGTATCCTATAATTACGAGTCCTCAGATCTGGATTTGAAGTGTCAGCACCATACATCAATTTCTGTCTTCATGTGGTCTGGATTTTCGTCGTGAAAGCAAACGCTTAAACCACTAGGCACGCCGTCACGGAATAGCTTGCCAGAAACGGGAAATGGCATTTCGAACTTTTTTATACACAACTCCACTTGATATATAGACTCATTGGCGAAATATTTATGTTTAATTATTATGTTTCACTATTTGAAGGTGATAATAGTGTAGGCCATTTTCTACGCTGCAGGTGGCGTGTGACGCCTGGTTTATGTCTACGACAACTTGCAGCGAGGCCCTGACGTCGTACTGTGGTGATGGTGCCGATAACATCACAGTATGTGCAGCGTGTCCACTGTAGTAAGTATACAGTTTGTTCATCACAGGTTTGTCCGCTCATGTTCCTTAGGGTCGGTTTGTTTTGTTTCTTGAATTATGCCACACTATATGCCATATTCCAGTTATGATGTCTGTGTGTACATGGTCAAGTGAGTCGCAAATAGTCCAGTGATAATTTACAGACCACCCTAAAGCAGGAAATCTGGAGAGTGTGACATAAATCAAAAGACTAACAACCAGACGCTGTTTCTTGTAATGGCATGGGTTGCGGAAGTGCAATTCTAACTCAGGCCAGTATGGGGCTATTCCGTACGTTGTGCACAAAACGCTACATGGACAAAGGGAAATATCATGCGATAACTAAAATACTGTACCAAAAGAATTAAACCGTGCTCATTTGTCACGTGTGTATCAATATGTTCTCGGTGTCATGTGTGTGCCATTTTGTTTCCAGTGACGACGTTCTGTGTAACGCCACCCAAGACCCGCTGCTGTGTTACGGCAACAACCGAAGTCCATGCGGTGATACGACGGAGCCATGCGACTCCACATTGGGCTTCAACTATGGTTGCTATGTAAATAGAATCGAAACAAAACATTTTTCATACTAATGAGAAATATTTCGTAAATGTCCATTGAAAAATTTCAACTATATCATAAGCATCTGGTCATCAGTCTCAATGAAATAGTGATAGAACCAGGTGTTTCCAACAAAACCGAGCCTATCCTGTCCGACTGGTGACATCTGTCATAAACACATGCAGTGGTAAGTCATCGTTTGTACCTACAAACACCTACAAGTGAAAATAGGGCATTGCGTCAGACTTCACCATTGTCACTCCCCAAATTATTCACAACTAGGTGTCAGTCAGAGCTGTCAATAGCACGCCAATGATCTACGCCCGTTGTCAACTCGGAACATGTAAAAACATCACGAAGTAGACTCACAGCGAACGTCTTATATAACCAACCTCTGCATATCAATGATTGTGACCTCATTCCACCCTGAATGAAACCGATCACCATATTCTCTTTGGTATAAGAAGACAGTCGAAGAAGTTAAGGACCACCCTATTCTTTCACGAGCCTTCCCTGTTTTGAGTAGTATATTCACCTCACTTCATTGGCGTTGTTTAGTCTTCTGGTTCCTTGTATTTCAGAATGGGTATTGTTGGAGCCAGTGTGTGGGTGTGGACTATGGGGACCAAGAGTGGTGCTACACCGCCAAGAGACAGCATGGGCCTCGTGTTGACTACACCTGCGAAGAGGACTCTGATTGTCAGCCAACTACGTTAAATGACAGCATCATGTGTTCCGGGAACTGTGGGCCTACTGGTTCCTTTGGAAAGTGAACCACAGTACCGGACCGACCATTTGATTGGGATAGGATTATTGCTGGTCGCTGCAAGAAGAATCCTGTTTATCTCCTCAATTCACGCAATATCAGATTGGTCGGCCTTTTCGATTATTCATGTATATCACTTGCAATGTGGATCTACAAATAAAGTGCAGATCCTATCGAACGTCTTGTCCTTTTTTCTTAGAGTACTGGCGGCCTAGTTTCGAGTGAGTGAGTGATGCTTCTTTAACCACAATATCTAGCGTGCGTGCTGTGAGCATTCAAGCCTATGAACCATCATGATCACGTCAACATGGATTGAATCGTGGAGTTGGGCGAGGAACGTGAGGTGCTGGCAATGCTGCACCTGGGTACGATATCTGTGGGTTTGTGGCGACACCTACACACACATACTTTCACAATGCTTACAAATGCGTTGTTGTTTTAGGAGAATTATCACAAAACTCACAAATTAGGTGTCCTCATGAGGTTTCTTAAAGTTAAGAAGTAAACTAAGAACAAAATAACTTGTCTAAGTTTTTCTTACAAGTTAAGAACGATATTATGGAAACTAAGAATTCTTAGTGGATTTAAGAATTCTTAACTCTTAAGAAAATTCTAAGAAGCTTTATGAATACCGCCCCAGGTGTGTACTTTCAGTATATTTCAAGCTTTCGTCCATAAAGGACATCTTTCAGTTTATATTCAATATTTGCTTTGATTTCATGAACATCTGTGTCAAAAAAGTAATCGGTCTTTTTATTTAAGAAGAACGAATTAATTACTGAGACTTTTAGTGACTATACCTCCCCGAGGTTTGAAGTTATACATGGCCCCTAAGTGGCTATACCTCCCCGAGTTTTGAAGTTATACATGGCCCCTAAGAGGCTATACCTCCCCGAGTTTTGAAGTTATACATGGCCCCTAAGTGACTATACCTCCCCGAGTTTTGAAGTTATACATGGCCCCTAAGTGACTATACCTCCCCGAGTTTTGAAGTTATACATGGCCCCTAAGAGGCTATACCTCCCCGAGTTTTGAAGTTATACATGGCCCCTAAGGACTACACCTCCCCTAGTTTTGAAGTTATCCATGGCCCCTAAGTGACTATACCTCCCCGAGTTTTGAAGTTATACATGGCCCCTAAGTGACTATACCTCCCCAAGTTTTGAAGTTATACATGGCCCCTAAGAGGCTATACCTCCCCGAGTTTTGAAGTTATACATGGCCCTTAAGTGACTATACCTCCCCGAGTTTTGAGTAAGAGGCTACGTAAGTCCACTCAATTCAAGTAATAGTTCTTCTCTCCATGGTTTTATTCGTAGAATACTTGATATATTTAATTGTGTGCTTCAACTGTCCACAGTAGCCAGAGGGTAAGTGTAACTATATAGGGAACCACGCAGAACACAAGTACCGTAATGGTCCTCAGCATGGTGGCCTTCCTTTGGCTGCTGATGGTTCGTGTAATGTAGTGTTATGAATAGACATATTTTAAAGCTTACATAGTTTTAAGTCTATATATGTCCTATTTTTTATTTTATCAATTTGTTTGGTTAAATTATTCAGTTTACGTTGTAAAAATTTGTAAGACATTAGCATGTAAATTTGGAAGGTTGATGACAGTGCACAAACTATTGTCATCATTATCCTGTCATTGAAACAAATATAAACTCATGACATAGTCACAATTGTACACTCGACTCAGCAGAGATTCTTATGGATGTGGAAAGGGTTTTGTGGCTTCTATTTCAATAGTACACGTCGTTTTCATGTAATTCACCAACAACAAATGTATCATTTAAAGAAACATCAATTTGTCCATTTCTTTTATTGCATCTACAGCTTGAAACATAGTTTGGACTGACTGACCTTCATTGTTTAAACAGACCTTCGGAATGGCAAAGAGGCGGAACATATTAGGTCAATGAACTCTTTCCAAATATTTAAGACGAACTGTGCTGATTATTGGCAGCAAATGTACAACTTTTCATGCATTTCATGCATTTTCATGCATTTGTGCACGAACATTTGCTGGACCTCTCCATTTCATGACTATTGACATGTTGACAGTGACTCATGAACACACACGCACGCACACACACACACACACACACACACACACACACACACACACACACACATACATACATACATACATACATACATACATACATACATACATACATACATACAAACAAACAAATACTTCTATAGCGCCAGAATCCGATGTAATCGCCCAAAGGCGCTCTGAGTCCACGCTGGAGCTAAAGGTAAGCTTTGCTAAAAAGATGAGTCTTTAACTGGCTTTTGAAAGATGCAAGTTCAGTCAGTGATCGAAGTTCTTGTGGTCGATTTTTCTAGAGTTTTGCACCAATTGAAGAGAATGCTCGGTCACCAAAAGACTTTGTTCTTGTACATTGAATTTGCAGAAGAAATTGGTCACTGGAGCGAAGAGATCGGGTTGGCACATAGGGTTTTACAAGTTGTGAAAGATACCCTGGAGCCAGTCCATGGATGCCTTTAAAAACAAGAAGCAATACTTTGTACTGGATTCTGAATTTGATTGGGAGCCAATGGAGAATTTTTCATGACAGGGGTAATGTGTTCAATTTTCTTTGTTCTGCTGATCAATCTTGCCGCTTAATTCTTGACTCTCTGTAGCTTGTGTAGCACATGATTTGGAAGACCACTGAACAACGAATTGCAGTAATCAATGCGTGATGTTACGTACGCCTGCACCAGAGCACTCGTTGTTTTCTCGTCAAGGTACCTGCGGATCAGGCTGATATTCCGAATGTGGCAATAAGCGCTGCGACAAACACTGTTGACATGTGGTTCCATGCAGAGAGATGAGTCAAATACTACACCAAGATTCCGGACTTGAGAACTTGGTGTGATTTCACAGTGTCCAATAGAGAAAGTGGGAAGATCAAGTTTTGCCCGGAGCCGCTTGGGCCTGAAAACGATGAGCTCGGTTTTGTCGTCATTTAATTTCAACCAGTGCATTGACATCCAAATTTTGATACAGTCAACACATTCCTGGACTGCTGTGAATGTGAAAGATGTTGAGACAGAATCGAGTGGCACAATTGAAGGACACGTAAACCTGGAATATTGCTGTCATCCGCATGAAAAGACCTGTGTGTCACTAAAGAGGTTAAAGGACCTGACGATATCACCAAGAGGGGTTGTGTAGGCAGTAAAAAGCAAAGGGCCCAGAACTGAGCCTTGTGGTACCCCGAACACTAAGTCACTAGGCAGCGACATTTGACCTTGAATAACCACTGATTGTTTCCTGTCTGAGATGTAGGACTTGAACCACTTTAACACGACGCCTTTGACATTGAATCTTCCTTCAAGAGTGGCTAGAAGAACACTGTGGTCAATCGTGTCAAAAGAGGCCGAAAGGTCCAACAAGACGAGAATGGAAGCACCGTCCTTGTCAATACCCATGAGTATGTCGTTCTGGACTTTGACAAGTGCCGTTTCCGTGCTGTGGAAGCAGCGGTAAGCTGATTGATAGACTTTATGCAACCCATTGCTGTCCATATGATCCTTGAACTGTGTTGCAGCTATGCGTTCAATCAATTTGGAAATGAAAGTCAAATTAGACACGGTTCTGTAGTTTTTCAACAGTTCATGGTCCAGGTTCTTCTTTTTGATGAGTGGGGTAACCACTCCAGTCTTTAATTGTTGGGGCATAACACCCTCCGCGATTCATTGACCATGTAAGTCAGTATGGGGAGAAGAGAATCAACATTCTGCTTGAGAAGCCAAGTGGGCAAAGGATCAAGCAGGCACGTTTTTGAAGGGCATCTTGAGACAAGTTTATGAATTTCAACTTCTGTCACTGATTTGAAGTTTTCAAAAGCTGGGAAGCTAATTTCGGAAGGATCATTGCTTGGCTGATCAGCTCGGGAGACGTCACTATTACGAAGTGAGTGACGAATAGTTCTTATTCTCTGGCTAAAGAAGGATGAAAACCGGTTCGCCAGCCGAGATACGTGGGATACGTGAGAAGGAAGAACAAGAGACTTCTGTTTAAAGAATAGCCGGTTGGCAACTTGAAAAACCTCTTTCTGACCAGTCGCCTGACTTATATTTTAGTCCGGATGGCACTGTGTGTGAAAAAGTTCCATCATATTTTCTAAGCATCCATATTTACGTGTAAAGCAATTTGAAAATAGCAAGGGTTCCTTGAAGCCATTCAATTTCATAAGTTCAAAGTACGAGTGTTGAAATATACAAAGGCTGTCCTCGTTCAAAGAGCATACATGATTTGATTTGATACAATGTACATCTTACACGTGGACTAAACACCACAAAATCATTACAGCAGCGTGACATAGAACTATTAACCAATGCAAGGCCCTGGTCCGTGATGTTGGCTCAAAAGGCTCAGATTCACATCGTCAATTTTACTACACTGCCTTCCACGCGAATAGTCAGTCATCATGGTTTATAGATGTACCCATGATGACTTGGAATACTGAGACACTAAAACAATGAGAAGAGTCAAACAGTGTGTAAGAAATCAATACCCCAAAAAATCGTTACTGCCTACTCGATAACCATTGAGAAGAGTTGATTGATGTATTTTTCCATCGCGACTGAAAGTGGAAAACGTCCACTTTATCACGATTAGTTTCTTCTTATGTGAGATGGTGGAGTAGTCTGGGTCCCGGTTCGATTCCCAACAGGGGCATTTGTGAAGCTGTGATATTGCTAGAATATTGCTAAAAGCGGCGTAAAACCCAAATCATTCACTCATTCTGCAATATTGATATTGTTTCATATGTATAAAGCACATGTTCGAACATCTATGGTCATGCAGTGAATGTGTGGGTCTATGCTTGTTGTAAGACTCAACTGAAATGTATTTAGTGCTCAGGCTCCGTGGGTTGGATGTGTCTAATACTGTCTATATACTCACAATAGGTTTAGACCTAAGCGATACACGAGTGACTAATCCGTACTTCCGCTCAACAAGATTATCTGGTCCAACGATCACTTGATTGTCTGGTTAGTTTTCAGGACGCCGTCGCATATCCAGACTGAAAATTCTTTTTATATTTGTGGCGTCTTCGGGTCTACCAAATCATTCAAATAGCTACCACAGCTCTGAGTGACTTCTAAAGAAGATGGCACGAATGAAAACACGCATACAATATTGGTAA